CATACAAACACACCGCAAGCGCCACTCGTCAGCATGACGCCCCGCCTTCCGAGCGGAGTGGGAGGGTATAAGGAGCGCGCTGGCGGTAGTAAAGACTGCAAGTCGGCAAGCAAAAGCACAAGTCCGCATTCGAATGAGAACTTCACTCCACCAGATATTGAGAGGGCTGTATGCACGCGTCTGCCTCATTTGGTTCTTCCTCTCCCATCACCTCTCCCGCTCCCTGCAGCCATTTTTCCGTCTCCTCATCCCAGTCACCCAGAATACTTAGGTTTCCCGAAACAGCGCGCCGTCGCACGGAGGCGGTTCTATCCGCAGCATCCATGGACGCGGCGACCGTACCGCCGGATGCGTGCAACGTGGAAGAGCTGCGTGATGTGGAACTAGTAAAAGATGCTCTCCTGTCGGGGAAGGATTTAATAAACGATTTGCCCGACGACGTGCTCTCCGCCATTCTCGCACGCGCCTCTGCCGGCGAGACGCTGCACCACGCGCTCGTGTGCCGCCGCTGGCTGCGCCTGGCGCAACTCTCCCAGCACGCCGTCCTCGTCAGCGCCCCGCGCCACCTCCACGCGGGCGAGTTGCTGCGCGGCTTGGCGCGCTTCCCCAACGCGAACTCGCTCACGCTAGGCGACAAGAGCGTCGACTTTTTCAACGACGCATTTCTGCGCGCGCTGCCCTCCGCATGCCCGCAACTCTCCCGCCTGCGCCTGGACGAGCCGCAGTACACCGGCGCCCCCCACTTCCGCATCACGCTCACCTGCCTTGGCCGCTTCCTCCGCAGCGCGTCGCGCCTCGAGGAGCTCACTTTGAAGCACAGCCTCGGCCACATCACGAAGCTTCCTTCCTCGCTCGCGTCGCTCTCGTCGCTGCGCGTGCTCAAGCTCTGTCTGAAGCGCCTCCGCGTTCTGCCCGACGAGCTCGGTGCGCTGCGGGCGCTGGAGGAGCTCTCCGTGGTCTGCCCCAAACTCACGAGCCTCCCCGCGTCCGTCGGGCAGCTCCCACGGCTGTCCTGCCTCTGCCTGTCGAGCTGCCGCGAGATGCGCCAGCTTCCCGCGCAGCTCGGCGCGCTAAGCGCGCTGACGGCGCTGGAAATTCACGGGTGGTACCGCCTGGAGGGCATTCCGGAGAGCATCGGCGCGCTGAAGGAGCTGCGCCGCCTGCACCTGCGGAACGTCACGTGCGCGCTGCCCAACGTGGGGGAGGAGTGGCGCAAGCTGGAGGAGCTGAGCCTGGAGGACGTTCACGTTAGCCATCTTCCGCCCATCTCCCTCGCGTCTCTCGCGGTCCTCACCATCCGCCAGTGCCGCTTCCTCCGCGCGATCCCCGACGAAATCGGCGCGGCGCCAGCCCTCCGCGAGCTCGAGATCGTCGAGGCGCCGCTCACCGCGCTGCCCGCGTCGATCGGGATGCTGACGTCACTGGAGCGGCTGGTGCTGGCGCCGTACGGGTCGGTGAGCGCGCTGCCGGCCGCGCTGCTGGCACTGCCGCGACTTGCGCACGTGGTGCTGAAGAATGTGTCGAGTCTTGATTCGCTGCTGGGGGATTGGGCGGAGGCGGAGGCGGAGGCGGAGGCGGAGGCGGAGGCGGAGGCGGAGGCGGAGGCGGGTGAGGAGGAAGAAGACGCGGAAGGGCGGGACGCGGGCGGCGCGGCTGACCGCGAACCCGACGGGGCTGCAAGCACGGCTGATGCCACTGCCACCGCCGTCCCGCCTGCCCCTCCCCCGCCTCCGCTGGCTCCCGCCCTGCGCCACCTGGAGCTGCATATGGCATACCGCGCGCCTCTGGGCCGACTGCGCCGCTTGCCGACCGCGCTGTGGGCGCTGCCGGCGCTCACGCACCTCGGGCTGCACGGCTTCACGCAGCTCGTCGCGCTCCCCGCGCGCGTTGCCCGTCTCAAGTCGCTGCAGTCCCTCACCCTCCAATCCTGCTCGCGGATCACCCAACTTCCCCCTGCGCTCGCCGCGCTCGCGCCGTCGCTGCGCGCGCTCACGCTGTCGGACCTCTCCGCGCTCTACTCCTTCCCCCCCGTCGTCTGCCGCCTCACCGCGCTCACGTCGCTCTCGCTCGTCCGCCTGATGCACATCGAGCGCCTCCCCCCCGCGCTCTCCGCGCTCTCCGCCCTCCGCACGCTCAAAGTCTCTATCGCGTCCGAGCTCTCCTCGATTCCCCAGTCGCTCGGCCAGCTGGCAGAGCTCGAGTCGCTCGAGCTGGAGGATTGCCCCGCGCTGCGAAGCCTGCCTGCGTCGCTCGGCCGCCTTACGGCGCTGCAGACGCTGGTGGTGATGCGATGCGGCGCGCTCACCGCCATTCCTGCCGCCATAGGCGGACTCGGCACGCTGACGCGGCTTAGCCTGACCTCGTGCGGCGCGCTCACCGCGCTGCCGAATTCCATCGGTCAGCTGGGCGCGTTAAAGGAGCTGACTATAACGAACGTGCCAATTGCGGCGCTCCCGGACACTCTCAGCGGGCTGACGTGTCTGGAGGAGCTGCGCGTCTCGGACTGCCTCTCCCTCGCCGCGCTCCCCGCGTCCCTCTGCGCCCTCCCGCGCCTCCACACGCTCTCCCTCATTGCGTGCTCCGCGCTGCACGCCCTCCCGGACGACATCGGCCAGCTGCGCGCGCTCAAGCGCCTCGCCCTCGAGCGCTGCTCCGCGCTCGCCCGCCTCCCCGCGTCCCTAGCGCGCCTTCCCGCGCTCGAGTCGCTCGACGTCACTAGCTGCGACCTTCTCACGCACCTCCCCGACGACTTAGCGCCGCTGCCGCGCCTCGTGCGCCTCGCGATCAACCACTGCCGCGCCTTCGTGCGCCTTCCCGCGTCGCTCCCCCGCCTGCCCGCGCTCCGCGTCCTCTCGCTCTCGTACTGCCCGTCGCTCGCCGCGCTCCCCCCCGACCTCGGGTCCCTGCGCGCGCTGCACTCCCTGCACCTGCGCGAGTGCTCCGCGCTGGCGGAGCTGCCCGCGGGGCTGGCGCGCGCGGAGGGGCTGCGCCACCTGGACGTGTGGGGGTGCGCGGCGGTGGGGGACGACACGGAGGTGGGCGTGTGCGGGCGCAGCGTGCACGTGGTGCGGGGGAGGCGCGAAGGGGGCGAGTTCGTGGGGGTGAAGCCCAGGAAGAGGCGCGCGGGGCGGGCGCGGGGGGGAGGAGCGGGGGTAGCGGGGGTTCAGGCGGGAACGGAAGCAGGCGGAGGAGGGGCGGAAGGAGGAGAGGCGGCTGGGGGGGGTGGAAGTGGGGCAGACAGGGGCAGTGCGGAGGCTGGGGGATTGGAGGGTGCAGCGGCAGGCGAGGGAGGGGAGGGGGGAGGAGAAGGGGAAGGCGGGATGGAGGCAGAGGGCGAGGGTGCAGGTGGGGAGGACGGCTTGGGGTCACTGGGGCAGGCACAGGGGGCGGGGGAGGGAGCAGGGGAAGGAGAGAATCAGAGGGAGGAGGAGAGGGAGCAGGATAGCGTGGGAGTGGCAGGGGATGAGACGCAGCAGATGGGAGTGGGGGAAGGAGAGGAAAGTGGAGAGGGGCAAGCAGAGGTGGGAGGAGACGGGAGAGGGGAGGAGGGGATGACACGAGAGGGCAGACATGAGGGAGGGGACGGCGATGCGCACATGCATGGGGTTGAGGCAGGGGGAGAAGTGGAGGGAATCGTGGGGGGAGAGGTGGAGAGTGTGGGAGAGGAGGGAGAGAGTGAGGTGAGTGGGGAGGGTGAGGATGGGGATGGGCGCATGGGCTTGAATGACTGCGGTGCAGCAGCAATGCATGGTGATGGCAGCGATGGCAGCAGGTTGGGGAGCAGAAGCAATGGCAGAGAGGGGGGCACACGGATGGGCAGAGGGAGGGGTGCAGATGGGGAGGCGGGGAGATGGGAGGGCAGGGGGAAGGACAAGGGGGGTGGTGGCAAGCGAGGGCGGGAGGGGGAGGGTGGGAGGATGGAGGGGAAGAAGCGGAGGAGAAAGGAGGCGCGGGCCAAGGCGTGGCGGTGCAAGCGCGCTGCTAACTGCTGCTGAGAGCACGGCTGCCAGCTCGGTTCAAAGGGGTCAAATACAAGACCGTTTCTGCTGCTGCTGCTGCTGCTGCTGCTGGTGTGTGCAGCTGCAGAGTTATTTTCCCGTGTCAGTGGTTGTAGCATTTGGCCACTATCCATGCCAAGCGCTGTGGTTGCTTGCTCCTCATTGTACGGTATATATTACACCTATTGGAGCAATAAAACCATTTATAGTGGACCTTTCACATTTGCATTGCACTGCTCGAAACCCGTACAAACCGTACCTAGCATGTGGCACACACCGTGAATGCTCTACTGAAATTGTTGTGTTAGCCCTTCTGGCTGGGCGTCCTCATCTTCCCTCCAATAGTTTTCTCCCCATTCACTGGTCTTCGGTCACTCTCTCTCTCCCCTTTCTTCGCCACTTCCGTTCCAGAACACGCTACACACAAGCCACTTACCTTCCTGGCAAAATTCCAGTATAGCATGATAAAACAAGAATCTAAGCAAATCCTAGGCCACTGCGATGCGCGCTCAACTACCTAGCTGCCAGCGTTCCTGAATCCCTGGGGATGAGGGACTGGCCGGTCGCTCTTCCCTCGGCTGGTCGCTCTTCCCTCGGCTGGACGAGCAGCAAGCCTGTGGTGCATGCTGCCTTGCTAGCCTCGGAGCCTCATCCTTGCAGTCTTCCTGCTCCTCTCGAGGCTCTGCTGCCAACAACCTTGTCCACTTTTCTTCTCCCAACTACCGGTACTTCTCCTAGAGACCCCCCAACTATTTGCTACCACTATCGTTCCTCGGAGTCGGTTGGTCGGACCACACCCCTGCTTGGTTAACAAAGAAACCAAAACAGCTATCCGTCACGTACCCCTTGAGCTGCTGTGTTACCCGCACTGGACATCCCACTTTTCCGTACATTGTATGACTGGTGTGGGTTACGCGGCATAATGGGTACCCCAGCACACAACAACAATTATGCCATTGTGTGTTTCCCCAGCACAGCACAGCATTGTGCTCCGCCATGACCTCACTGCTGTGCCATGTCCCCAGCGCTGTGCCATGCCCCCAGCGCTGTGCCATGCCCCCAGCGCTGTGCCATGCCCCCAGCGCTGTGCCATGCCCCCAGCGCCGTGGTGTCTACTGGAGTGCGGCGCTGCGGCGGCGGCGTTGCCACAGAAGGTTCTTGCGCCTGGCAGGGGGGGAAAAGGGGTGCAGGACGGGATTGCGGCGGTGTGGCAAAAGGGGACAAGAGGTGCACTTCCCTCACTGCTTGGCGCTGTGGCGGCGGCGCTGCCACAGGAGGTTCTTGCGCCTGGCAGGGGGGCGGAGAGATGGGTGCACGACGGGCAGCGGCGGTGTGCACACAGGCGAGCAGGTGGCATGGTCATGTGTGGCATGGTCATGTGTGGCATGATCATGTGTGGCATGGTCATGTGTGGCATGGTCATGTGTGGCATGGTCATGTGTAGCATGGTCATGTGTGGCATGGTCATGTGTGGCATGGTCATGTGTGGCATGGTCATGTGTGGCATGGTCATGTGTGGCATGGTCATGCGTGGCATGGTCATGCGTGGCATGGTCATGTGTAATGCATTGTGTTTCGTGGCATAGGAGGAGAGGGGTAAGGGTCTTAGGTCTTACGCGGCATAGGTAGAGGCAGTGGAGCCATTGGAGGCGGAGGGCACATAGGGAGCGCTCTCGCCCAGCAGTGCCCCCTCCTCTAGAATGATCTCCACGCTCTTCTCCAGTATCTCCTGCTGCACTGGCAGGAACTTGCCCTTGCTCTGCATGGCGATGGAGGGGGAGTGTGGGGTGGAGTGAGATAGGAGTGGGCGTGCGGGCACGAGGGAGTGAAAGGAGGTGGCGGGAGTGGCTCATGATGGCAGCCCCCTCCGCTAGAATGATCTCCACGCTCTTCTCCAGTATCTCCTGTTGCACTGGCAGGAACTTGCCCTTGCTCTGATGGGGGGGGGACCGGTGGGGTGAAGTGAGTTGGGAGGGGTTGGTGGCACGAGGGTGGAAGGAGGTGAGGAGCGGAGGGAGTGGCTCATGATGGCCTCCTCTAGGATGATCTCCACGCTCTTCTCCAGTATCTCCTGTTGGACTGGCAGGAACTTGGCCTTGCTCTGAGTGGGAGGTGGGAGGGGGAGGGGGGGAGCAAGGGCGACGGGGGGTGATGGCATGAGAGGGAGAGGAAGAAGGTGGGGAGAGGGAGTGGCTCATGATGATGCCCACCATGTCGTTCATGGACGCCACAACACCAATCTGCAGCCCCGGCCCCGTGCGCTGCTTCAGGTACCCCATGGCCCCCCAATGCAACCCCCCCCCCCCATCCTTCCCCCTATGCGCCCCCCCATCCTTCCCCCCATGCGCCCCCCCATCCTTCCCCCCATGCGCCCCCCCATCCTTCCCCCCATGCGCCCCCCCATCCCCTCCCCATGCATCCCCATCCACCCCCCCTTGCACCCCCATCCTCTCCCCACCACCCACCACGAAACCGATCTGCAGTCACGAGCCGGTGAGCTGCTTAAGGTACCCCATGGCGGGCCCTTGCTGCGCTCCACGCGTGGGTACCACACCCCATACCATGCACCCACCCATTACCCCTCGCCCTCCACCCACCATGTCTTTGATAGACGCCACGACACCAATCTGCAGCCCCGACCCGGTGAGCTGCTTTAAGTACCCCATGGCGGGGTCCTTGCTGACGCGCGGGTCCTGCTGCAGGCGATGATGGCAGTGTGTCTATTCACCCACCCACACTCAATACACCCCCATTTCACCCACACTCAATACACCCCCATTTCACCCACACTCAATACACCCCCATTTCACCCACACTCAATACACCCCCATTTCACCCATGCACCCTCTATCCCGTGCAACCACCCGCTAACCATCCCACCGCCCACCATGTCTTTAATGGACGCCACGACACCAATCTGCAGCCCCGATCCGGTGAGCTGCTTCAGGTACCCCATGGCGGGGCCCTTTGAGCGGTCCACGCGGGGGTGCTGCTGCGGATGATGGCAGTGCTGCCATTCATTCACGCATGGTTGATACACCAACCACCCCGCCCATGCACACCCCATCCCATGCACCCACCCATTGAACCTCGCCCACACTCACTTGGTCTTTAATGGAAGCCACAACGCCAATCTGCAGCCCCGACCCGGTGAGCTGCTTCAAGTACCCCATGGCGGGGCCCTTGCTTTTGTCCACCCTTGGGTGCTGTTGCAAGTATGCCGTGAGTGCGTGAGTGATGGCCTTCACGCGAGGCACGTCCTCGTGCCGCAGCACGAACGCTGCCTCCAATGTCTTGCACCCCGCCCGCGTGAGGTTCGTTATGACCTGGGGAGGGGGAGATGGGGTGGGGGTGAGGTAGGAGGGGGGGCAGTGTGGCAGGAGGTGGGGCACAAGCAGAGGGGTGGTGGGTGTCACATGGGGGAGGAACGGGAGGGCCAAGGGTGCTGCTGCAGGTAGGACGTCAGCACGTGCGTGGTGGCCTTCACCCGTGCCACGTCTTCATGCCGCAACACAAAGGCGGCCTCCAGTGTCTTGCACCCCGCGCGCGTGAGGTTCGTGATGACCTGGGGGGGGGGGGAGATGGGGTGGGGGTGAGGTAGGAGGAACAGTGGGGCAGGAGAGGGGTGTTGGTGGGGCAAGAGCCGAGGGGTGGTGGATGTCTCATGAGGGAGGAGGGGGGGCGAAGGGTGAAGCAGGTACGCCGTGAGTACGTGTGTGATGCCTTCCTCGCGGCACGTCCTCGTGCCGCAACACGAACGCGGCCTCCAGTGTCTTGCACCCCGCCCGCGTGAGGTTTGTGATCACCTGGTGGCGGCAGGGTGGGAGTGGGGGAGGAGGGGGAAATGGGGCAGGGGTAAATGGGGCAGGGGTAAATGGTGGAGGGCGGGGGGCGAGGAAGGGGTGGTTGGGGGGGCATGAGCCGTTGTGGTGGCCAGAGGAGGGGTGGTGGATGTCACATGAGGGAGGAGCGGGAGGGCCAAGTTGCGAGGGGGCAGAGCGTTGACGGGGGAGGTGAAGATGGCGTTGGGGATGATGATGGGCGCGAGGTCACCCTCCTGCAGCGTGGTGTGCAGGCAGGCATGGCTGACGCACTGCTCACTTCACGTCCAGCCTCTACCATTCTCATGCCTCCCACCTGCACTGCCTCTAAACCCCATGCCCCATCACTGCCAGGAGGTGGTCATATACACCTAAGCTAGGTTATGTAAAAGAGCGCTCACAGCGGAGGTGAAGACGGAATTGGGGATGATGATGGGAGCAAGGTCGTCCCCTTGTGCTCACTGGCCCCATGTCTCTGTTCATTTGTTCTCTTTCCAAAGCCCCTCCCATGCCCCACCAAACGAGGAGAGGAGCGCTCACAGCGGAGGTGAAGATGGAGTTGGGGATGATGATGGGCAAGAGGTCGTCGCCTTCAATGGTGGTGTGCAGGAACCCGACCTCCTGCACCTTGCCCTTGAGCCCCGCCACTCGGATCTTACGGCGGTGGTATGAAGGGGGCTCACCTCATGGTGGAGTTGATGAGAGACACTCACAGCAGACGTGAAGATGGAGTTGGGGATGATGATGGGCGACAAATCATCGCCCTCAATGGTGGTGTGCAGGAAGCCAATCTCCTGCACCTTGCCCTTGAGCCCCACCACGCGGATCTTCTCCCTCAGCGCGAACGGCTGTGTGAGGATGAGCATGAGCCCGCCAAAGAAGTTGGTCACGACCTTCTCCGATGCGAACGCCAACGCGAATCCTGGGAAGGGATGGAGGAGGAGGGGGCGGACAGTGGGGTGAGTCAAAAGTGGGGGGGAGTCAAAAGTGGGGGGGAGTCAAAAGTGGGGGGGAGTCAAAAGTGGGGGGGAGTCAAAAGTGGGGGGGAGTCAAAAGTGGGGGGGAGTCAAAAGAAGGGGGGGGAGGGAGCGAGGTTTGAGTGGGCTTGGGGAAGAGCGCCAGCACGAGCCCGCCCAAGAAGCTGGTCACCACCTTCTCAGATGCGAATGCCAACGCGAAACCTGGGATGGGATGGGAACAGATGGGGATGGGGATGGGGATGGGGATGGGGATGAGGATGCCTCTCACCGCACCTAGCATGACCCTCACCGCCCTTGAAAGGCACTTCAATGAACGGCGTACGAGAGATGCGTGTCAATGCGCGGCTTACCTGAGATGCCACCGATGGCAATGAGCGACTGGAGGCTGATGCCACACATGTCGGCGATGGTGATGCCACACATGTCGGCGATGGTGATGCCTGCTACCACCTGAGATGCCTCTCCACCCAAGCCCCACCTGAGATGCCTCTCCACCCAAGCCCCACCTGAGATGCCACCGATGGTGATGAGCGACTTGAGGCTGACACCGAACATGTCTCTGATGCCACTGACCCCACTCTCAACCCACTCTAGATGCCCCTCACCTCACCTGAGATACCACCGATGGCGATGAGCGACTTGAGGCTGATGCCAAACATGTCAGCAATGGTGATGCCCGCCAGCACACGCAGCAGCAGCGTCAGCACCGCACTCACGTTCGCCAGCACCGGCTGTTGTAGGGGAAAGGGGAGAGGGGGACGCATGAAGAGGGCGAGCAGGTGTGGCAGTGAGGGAGGGGCGAGAGGGTGATGCCTGCTAACACGCGCAGCAGCAGCGTCAGCACCGCACTCACGTTCGCCAGCACCAGCTGCACGGGGTGGGGGGGGGGGGGGGGAGGGGGTGGGGGAAGAGGGGAGTAAAGAGGAGGGGGAAAGGGAAGGTGGATGCAGAGATAGGGAATGGAGAGGGCCAGCGGATTGGAGGAGAGGGAGAGGGGAGGGCGAGCAGGTGTGGCAGTGGGGGATGGGAGAGCATGGGGTGTGTGTGGGTGGAGAGTGCGGGGAGTGTGAGTGACACCACATCACGCCATGCCATGCCACTCCCCGCCTTGTCCTCTCCTCGGGGTGCCCCCCTCACCTTCTCCGCCTGCCCCCCTCACCTTCTCCTCCGCCTGCCCCCCTCACCTTCTCCTCCGCCTGCCCCCCTCACCTTCTCCTACGCCTGCCCCCCTCACCTTGTCCTCGGGGTGCCTAGCAGCAATGAGCTTCATCGGGCGGTCCTTTCACCCAATGGCAAACCATGCCATGCCATGCCATGCCATGCCATGTCTCACAGCCTCACCTAGTCCTTGCCTTGCCCCCACGGCCCGTCCCACACCGCGCCTTGTCATCGGGGCGTTTGTCAGCCACAAGCTTCAAGAGGCGGTCCTTCCACCTGATGGCACATTGCACCACACCACGCCATGCCCCACCCATGCCCCACCCATGCCCCACCCATGCCCCACCCATGCCCCACCCATGCCCCACCCATGCCACACCCATGCCACACCCATGCCACACCCATGCCCCACCCATGGCACACCCATGGCACACTATGCCATGCCAAGGCACGCCACGCCCCACCTTGTCATCGGGGCGTTGAGCAGCGACGAGCTTCAAGAGGCGGTCCTTCCACCCGATGGCAAACCACGCCGCCGCCACCACGAGCGCCACGCCCCTCGCCCTCGCCATCAGCGCCGCCTGCCCCGCCTGCCTCAGCGCCGGCACCAGCACATGCAGACTGTGATGTGTGGGGGGGAGAAGGGGGACGGGGGGCGGGGAAAAAGCTGTCACTGCTCTCTGTGTACTTGGGTCGCAGCACCCCATGCCACGCCCCTCGCCCTCGCCATCAGCGCCGCCTGCGCTGCCTGCCGTAGCGCCGGTACCAGCACATACAGACTGCCGTGGGGGGGGGGGGGAGGGGAGGGGAACGAGGGACGGGAGAAAAGGAAAGGGGGAAGTGGAACGAGGGAAGGGGGAAGAGGGACGGGGAAAGGGGGAAAGGGGAAGTTGGAAGGGGGAGAGGGAACGGGGAAGGGACAATTGGGGATGGAGGAAGAGGGAGCGGGGATGGGGGAACGGGGGAGGGGGCAAAATAGGGAAGGAGGGGGAGTGGAGTATGAGTGAGTGAGCATGTGAGGAAGAGTGAGCATGTGAGGAAGAGTGAGCAGAAAGACGACAGCAGCGGGGCAACAAGGCGATGGAGCGATGCGATGCGATGAAGAGGCGGCGCTGAGGAGAGAGAAGGGGAGAAGGGAGGGACTGACTGGCGCGTGAGGAAGGCAGAAGCGAGTGCGAACTGCATGGGGCGGACGAGCGCGCCGAACATGCTGTCACCGAACTCCTCCTCCGTCACCTCCTCGTCGCTCATCACGTACGTCCCCCACACGCTGGCACGACAGGGGGAGTGGCAAGGGGAGGGGCAGGGGCAGGGGCAGGGGCAGGGGCAGGGCGGAGAGGATTGGGGGGGGGGAAAGAAAGGGCGCGGCGAGCATGCTGTCGACGAACTCCTCCTCTGTCACATCCTCGTTGCTCATCACGTATGTCCCCCACACGCTGCCACGCGCAGAGAGGCGGGGGGCAGGGGGGTCAGGGGCAGGGGGGACAGGCAGGGGGCAGGCAGGGTGGAGAGGATGCGGGGGGGGAGAGGGGCGCTCCGAACATGCTGTCGCCGAACTCGTCCTCCGTCACCTCCTCGTCACTCATCACGTACGTCCCCCACACGCTGCCACGCGCAGGCGCGGGCGCACGCGCAGGCGCAGGGGCAGGGGCGGGCGCAGGCGCAGGGGCCGAGCGGAGTGGATAGGGAGTGGGGGTGGAGAAGAGCCGGGAGCATGGGGGGAGGTAGAGAAAAGGAGAGAGAGGGATTAAGTGAAAGAAGAAGGCGGTTCGATGAAACGCGGTACTGCACGGTGCTGCGGGGTGCTGCACGGTGCGGGCGTGCACTGACTGCTGACACGCGTTTTGAGTCCCCAAGTGCATAAGTGCAGCCCAGCAACGCCATCGCCTCGCCTCGCTGCCTCTCCTTGCCCACCCCCTCTCCCCGCTCGTCCCTTCACAACCCCAATGCCTCAGCGCGACGCGCCACGTAAGCGTCTCACTGCTTCAGCACGACACGCCCATCTGTGGCGCTTACTGGTTGAGCGCGCGGCAGATCTGCGGCGCGCAGTAGATGACGACGAGCGTTGCCAGCCCAACGATGCTCTCGCGGAGGAAAAGGACAACCTGCGCCGCCAACACGCAAACGCACAGGAGAAGGCACGCGCATGCGCAGCGTGCAAGCGCAAAGACGGTGGGTGCACTGCCGTGAGCATGCAACGCGATAAACACGGATAGCACAAACGGGCGTGCATTCGAGCCGCAGATCGGCGTCGCGGGGTGGGCGCCGCGCCGATAGTACACGTTTCACACTGTAACGGCTCACACTGTAACGCATCCTGCATCGCACACCGCGCCCGCCGCTGCGCCCAGGGTCCCATTCCCACCCCGAGCGCGTCCCCCGCGCGACTCACCGACACCTCCGTGAGCCCGAGACCCGCCGCGAACCCTGCCGGCACGACGCGCGAGTAGACGGCTTGCGCGACATCGGTCAGCGCGCCGGCCTTTACCATCGCCGCGGTCGCCGGAGGCGCCGCTGCAGCGGCAGCGGCGCGCACAGAAGTGGCGCGTCGCTTCGCGGAGAGCGCGGGGAGTGGCGGAAGGCATGTCCGTGCGCCGAGAGCGGAGGCGGCGGAGAGGCGAGAGGCGGGAAATGGCGCGGCGCATCGCGGTCTAACGGCAGCGCGCGGCAGGAGAGCAGTCGACGCGAGCGATGCCATGTTGTGCGTAGCGTGATGGCGAACAATGTCAGTACAGGTTCACAGAATCCAGGCTTTGGAAATGGGTTTGATAGCACAAGAGTGGTGTACGGACATGAAATGAACTTGTGATTCAAATCGACCTGGACAATGGAATTTCTCCTCCTCATTCCATGATGCTGGTGTTTGTGTTGTGATGTGAGCGGCTGGCAGAGAGCGGGAGGAGACAGGCAGGGCAAAAATGGGAGGGAAGTCGGCACACTGGTGGGCGCGGGAGTGGGTGTGGGGGCGACGCTTACCGTCCGATCTGTAGTCGCACAAATGAACCCGCTCTCTCCTACCGTCGATTGTTCTGATACGGCATTCGCCATCTTGACCGCCAAGCATGCCTGCTCAACTTTGAAATGTCAATTACAGTAGAACCGTCGATCCCCCGATGTCCTAGAATCTTGTTCTGACGGGCTAGATGTCGTGATTCGTGGATACTTGAATGTCGAAGAGTGTAATGATGTTATGTGTTATGAGTTGTAAAAGAGAGTGCGCAGGTAAACGAATAACGAAGCGGTGACTGAATGAAATTGCGAATACAAAGAATGTCCAGACTAATATAGAACTACGCTAGCTAGGCGAGAACCTCGGACGAGCGAGGTTGGGTGCAGGTTTGGCGATGAGAAAGCCGAAGGCGACGCGAGGAGCCTCGGCAGCGTTGAAATCGGCCGAACGTGCGAACTCCGAAAATCGGGTTGTACGCGAAGCAGTCAACCCCGATAAGGAATTCGGGAAAATTCCTTACACCACCCCCCCCCCCTTTAAGAAAGGTAGTCAATAGCCGAGACACGACGTCGTGCCAAATAAGCAGCAACAAGCGTCGAGGCGTCCAGGGAAGCGGATGGCACCCACGTGTCGTCCTCACTGGTGCGATCCGTCCAGCGAATCAAGAAATCCACGTGGCGTCCAGCGAATCAAGAAATCCGTCAAGGCGGACCCTATGAGCGAGGATCTTCGAAGGGTCAAGGGTCGGCTCCGGGACGGGGCGAGCTGTCGGGACCGCGTGCTGACGTGCAATGTCGGTCGTGGCAGGCACGAACTTCCGAAGAAGGTTGACGTGGAATGCGTCGTGGATATGCCAGTCGTCGGGGAGTAACAGCTTTGCCGTGACAGGTGTCACCATCGTGAGGATTTTAAACGGGCCGCAAAATCGTGGCCGAAGTTTCGCAGGGCCGGGCAGGTTCAGGTTCTTCGTGTCGAGAAGGACTAGTTGCCCAGCTGTCAAGATGAGCTCCCGTCGGAGAAGGTTGGTATATTTGCGGGAAGTGATATTCGCCTTGCGAATGGCATCGGCAGCTTTGTCTCGGGCTTCCTCAAGTTCCGTCACGAAAGTCTGGGAACGGGGAACCGGGTTGGTGAATGTAGTCGTCGTTGGAACAGCCGGGTCCATCCCGTAATTGAGGAAAAAAGGCGAGTGATTAGTCGTGCTGGATGGTGCGTTGTTGAAAGCGAATTCCAGCATGGCGAGCGAGTCTTCCCAGCGGGTAGGGTCGGGGCAGTTGGTGCGAATTGTTGGGCTGAGAATTTCAGCCTTAGGATCTTTGCAGATAATAGGCTAGTAAGTGCTAGAGTAGCACAGCGGAAGTCTTGAGTGAATGTACTTGTGCTGGTATGTGAGAACAAGTAATTGATTAAAGTAAAGGGCATACAGGAATATATAGAAAGGATAGATTACAAGAAACGGTTATGTTTATCGAGACGCGTAACGCTTCGACTATCGAGGTGGTTACTGTTTACTGAAGCGTCGCTTGCTGTTACGTAACCTCCAGGCGGTTACAGCTCGCAACCTCTAGTTGCGGTTTGATGTGGTACGCGCCTTTTCGACTTCGTACTCCTTTTGTTGTGCTTCAGTATCGGGTGAGGTTCGATACTACAGAAACGCACTAAGTCATGCGTTTATTTTCCCAACACTCCCCTTCGTTTCTGGAGTGTCGACGTGGTCAGCTTCGGTGACGTGGTCCAATCCGGTGAGCAGCATGCAGTACTCGAATTTCCCCTTTGGTAGCTTCTTGGTGAGATAATCTGCTGCCATCTCGGTGGTCGGGCAGTAATCCAGCTGGAGTTTTCCTTTCTCAATTTCGTCTTTCACGAAGAAGTATCGCAGTGTGATATGCTTGGTTCTGTTGGCGAAGCCATTCTTGTTCGCGATCCGTATCGCGGACTGGTTGTCGCAGAAAAGCGAGAAGCTGGGTACTTTCGCAATTTTCGCTTCTTCCAGCAGTTCGCGCAGGTACAGGCCCTCCTTGGTAGCAGTGCAGAGAGCAATATACTCTGTCGAGAGTAAGTGAACAGGAGAATGAAAGGTGGGGCCTAGGCTTAGTAGCCTAGGCCCTAACTAGGTATCGAGCGGGATTTTCCCTAGGAGCGATGTATCGAGTGAGTTGAGAGAAATTGGTGAAAAGGTTGGTTTCACTATAGGTTCAGGGGTACATATAGCATAGAAACACAATAAGGTGCACCACCAACAAAAGTTTACATAACTACACTAACTACAACTACAAGCAATTATAAAACATGACAAAATATTTCGACACGCCCCCATAATGCTTGTAGGTAGGTATGTAGTTACAGCAACAGCAGGTACCCCTTCCATCTCCTCACCCTCCTCCTTCCCCTCCCCCACACTGCTGCAGAAGCAGCAGAGAAGGGGGGAAGAGAGGAGAGGTGGAGGGACGGCTGCTTGTTGCCTCACACCCGCCACCCCGGTACCACTCCCCCTCCTCACCCACATCCTCACACCCTCCCCCCCCAGCGGCAGCTGCAGCGGTGGGACTGAAAGAAGGAGGAGGGAAAGGGAGAGAGTTGACCCCACGCTCCAACACCCTCCTGTGAAACTATGAGCAGAGGAATGAATGACTAAGTCAGAGTTGGGTACAAAATACAACCCTAGCAAACTGTACCCCATATGTGCTACCCCACTATAGCCTACAAACATGCATCAGCTATAATAATCTGACACACCCCCATAGGCAAAGTGGGGGAGAACAAGGGGTCACAAGACCAGTCAAGCAAAGCAAAACAAGCTCAGGGTGGATCACAAAGTCACCACACAGTCCGAGCACAAGAGCAAGGCCAGAGGCCAGTTCACATGCAGGAGTAAAGACATATATATAAAACTAGACAAGCAAGAGCAGGTATATATATGTCAAAGTACAAGTAAAGTCAAGAAGAGAGCAAGTGAGGCAAGACAGGTACAAGACCCAGCTGGGTACAAAAGCGCTGATGGTCGCAAGGCGCAAGTGCCTTGGTGAACACATCAGCAGTGTTGGCCTCAGAGGCCACGTAAGCAAGTCGCAACTGACCACGCTGCTGCAGCTCACGAGCAAGGAAGTAGCGGAGAGCAATGTGCTTCGTTCTGTGCTCCAAGCGCTGCTCTCGACACAAGGCCAACATGGCCTTGTTGTCTACGTACAGCACTGGAGGAGAACGAGGCAGCTCTCCAAGGTCAGTCAGCAGGTAGGTGAGCCAGCGAAGCTCCTGTGCAGCCATGGCCCCGGCGTAGATCTCAGCCTCACAACTGGAGCCGAGAACCGAAGACGAGCGAGTAGACCGCCACGAGACAGAGCCGGAACCAAGGCTGAAGGTGTAACCCTGTGACGACCGCTGCGTAGCCTGGTCGTCAGCCCAAGAAGCGTCTGCGTGCCCAGTAAGGACCACTGGACTCCGCCCTCCAAGCACTAGCCCCATGCCCGACGTACTGCACAGGTAGCGCAATACCCTCTTCGCTGCAGCCATGTGCTCTGGTCGGTGTCTCCCAGGAGCAACATAGCGTGCAAGGATGCTCAGAGGGTATGCAAGGTCAGGTCGAGTGCAGGTCATCAGGTACATGAGGCAGCCAACAAGCTCTGCATACGGACCACTCGACTCTACGGACTCATCCGAAGGCAGAGCTGAGAGTGAGTGGCGAGTAGGCAGAGGAGTGGCCTGAGGCGAGGAGTACGTGAAGCCGAAGCGCTGAAGGACCTGCTGCACCATGTGTGACTGAGTCAGGGTAATGGTGCGGCGTGCTCTGTCCCGAGTGATCTGCAAGCCAAGGTAGCTGCGCAGTTCACCCAGGTCTGTGCACGTGTGTCTCTTCAGCAGCTCGGACTTCACGTAGGCGAGTCCAGCAGTGTCCGCTGTGGCAAAGACCAAGTCGTCGACGTACACGAGGATGTAGAACGGCGGCAGGGAAGTGTCGGTGCGAAGAAACAGCGACGGGTCAGCAGTAGAAGGAGCAAACCCAAGAGCCGCAAGCGTAGTCCTCAGTGTGTCGTGCCACTCACGCGGTGCCTGGCGGAGACCGTAGACTGGCCGTCGGAGGCTCCACTGGGTGCCAGGAGGGAAAGTCCCAGTGAAGCCAGGTGGACGGCGAAGCCAGATCTCCTCGTGCAGGCTACCCTGCAAGAACGCAGTGCTGAAGTCGAGAGAGTGAAGCTCGTAGTCGCGCTGAGCGGCAATGTGCAGCAGCACCCGAAGAGTGGTCATCTTCGGGGTGGGAGAGAAGGTCTGAAAGTAGTCAACTCCCTGCCGCTGACTGAAGCCACGAGCCACGTAACGCGCCTTGAAGACAGGCGGCGAGCCCGGCGGCCGCTTCACCCTGAAGATCCACATGCCACTGACGATGTTCGCCCCAGGAGGGGGAACCGCGTCAACGTAGGTGCCTGTGGACTTCCAGGAAGCCATCTCTGCATCCATAGCTGCCTGCCACTGAGAGGAGTAGGGACCCTCTACGGCCTCCGCGTAAGAACGCGGAGTCGGGATGTCTAGTGCATCCGGGTCTCCCTCAGGGGCTAGCAGTACAGACGCGAGACGAGGTGAAGCAGCGGCTAGACACTGGAACTCCTCCTGCCTGTCCTCTAGGACGTCCGTGCCAAGGGCACACTCACCCCCGACGGACGGAGGACAGGCGGACTCAGACTCAGCGACAAGACGAGCAGCGTAGTCTAGACGACAGCGCGCAGCAAAGTCGACAAGCTCAGTGACAAGGGCAG